TTTCTTCTGCTTGGCTGCTGAACTCGCCGTATCCACATAACTCCAGGCTAGTTGTTTAAGTAAATCCATTTATGGCAGCAAAATAGGGGAGGGGGAGGAAGGCATAAAATATCAGTATGTATAAATTCACCTGAGACGAAGAAGCCATTATGCCCTGATGAGCTTTAGAGCACTTTCAGTTACTCTTTCCTCATAATTTCACAATGGTCCTGTCTTCATCAGAGTGTAGTTAGGCAAAGTGCTCTGACTTATTTTGTGTGGATAAAACGTGACGAGCAATTGCTCATGTATTTTCGCAGTATCTGTGAGTTCGCACTGCTTTGCTTCCTCTTCAGGTTATGCTATGGGAGCAACGTGGGCACGCTGAAAATCAGCATTTTGTTATATGGGTAAGTTTTAGTTCGTTTTCCTCTCTGAAATTTTTCTTTATGGGCTCTATACTAAGAAGGCATATTAATAGGAAGGTATATATTAAAAACGGATGAAAAGAGATGAACAGAAAAGAAGGTAAGAGATGAGAATTACAAAATTTGTAAATTAATAAAACCATTTTAATGGTAAGAAATGTTTCGGTCCATTAAGTCGTATGCATTTCTTGCCATTACCACAACTGCACCTTGTCAGTACGACGACTGTAGTAATTAGAATTAGTTGATATTAAGATTAAATCATGTAACGAATGCTAATAGTAAGTACATACATATTTTATAAAATGTTTGCATTTTTCAGGATTACCATGTCGTTTTGCTGTACGCAGGCGTTAAGAAAACGCTTATTTGCGACTTCGATACGCTGTTGAACTTCCCATGCGATGCATCTCTGTATATCGAGAGGACTTTACGTCCCTACTTACATGTGGATACTCCGTATCGCAGGTACTTCTGGCTCTCCTCCACTGATTTCTGTAAAGCAGGGATTATGTGAATTGCATTATGGTGATGTAGTAAAGACGTTGGTTCGTTGCATAATTTGTAATTGTTCTGCATTTGTAGGTTTTTCCGAGTTGTCAATGCTGCCGGTTATCTGCAGCAATTCTCATCCGATCGACGACATATGCTGGATTTTGATGGGAATCCCAAAGAACAGGCGCCATCGTGGCCGATAATTTACAATCCTGGTATGCGTAATTTTGTTATCGCATGCCGTTTGTTACCGTATAATGTGCTTTCTCCAGATTATGGCCACAATCTAGCCGATTTCATCGTGGTGGACAACGATTTTTTTACTGAAATCAGCGAAATCTATGATCAGGATACGTTCATTAAGTTCGTCACTGAAGTACTGAAGCCTCGCTGAAATCGCCAGCTCTGAATGCGGGAATTTTCAAATGTGTTGCTAAATTTTCTACTGTTGCTACGAGGAGATTCCTCGGATCTGTTGTTGAAGTTATTATTTTGTGATTTTTGGAATACATGTTATAAAATTGCTTGTTAGTGACGATTCCTGTATCTTCTTTTTGCTATGTTTGATGACCATGGACTGTGAATTTGTTGCCGAAGTTTACACTTTTGTTGAGGTATTAAACAAGTTTTTTTTTTTTTTGTGAACACTTGTTGGCTAAGTTTTTTTCCCCTAGGTCTGTAACAGAATTTTATGGTTGCTTTGTGAATTAATCTTCCTTGTTTTAAAGTAGCGGATTTTGTTGATGTTTATGATCTTTTTTTTTTTTTTTTTTT